GAATTTTGTCAAATGCTTTTTCTGCATCTACTGATATGTGATTTTCTCTAGTTTGTTGAGATGATGGATTACATTATTTGGTTTTTGAGTGTTTATTGGGATATGTGGAACAAATCCACTTGGTTGTGATGTATAATTCCTTTCATATATTGTTGGATTTGATTTACTCATATTTTGTTGAGAATTTTTTGTGCCTATTTTCAAGAGAGTTATTGGTCTGTAGTTTTCTTGTAATATATTTTTGTCCAGTTTTGGCAGTAGGATAATTTCTGGCCTCATAAAATGAGAAAACATTCTCTTTTCTATTTCCTGAAAAAGAATGTAGAGAATAGGCATAATTTCTTTCTTATATGTGTGGTAGAATTCAATACTAAATTCATCTGGACCCAAAGCTTTCTATTTGGGAAAGATATTATTCATTCAATTTCTTTAATAGCTATTGAACTATTTGGATTGTCTATTTCTTCTTGTGTGAGCATACTGTGTCTTTCAGGAAATTTGCTCATTTCATATAAATTATCAAACTGGTAGGAATAGAGTTTTCCATAATATCCTTTAGTACCCTTCTAATATCTATGGGATCTATAGTGATGGCCCTTCTATCACTTCTGATATTAGTCGTTTGTGACTTCTCTCTTCTTAATGAGCCTGACTATAGGTTTCTCCAGTATATTGATCTACTCAAAGAACCAGCTTATGGTTTTGAAGATTTTCTCTATTGATTTCTTGTTGTCAATTTCATTGATTGCTGGTCTAATTTTTACTATTTATTTTCTTCTGCTTTAGATTTAATTTGTCCTTTTTCTAGTTTCCTAAGGTGGAAGCTTAGTTGATTTTAGATATTGATTTTAGATCTTCTTTTCTAATATATGCATCAATGCTATAAATTTTCCTCTAAAAACTGCTTTTATTGCATCTGATTAATTTGGGTAAGCTGTAGTTACACTTAGTTCAAATATTTAAAATTTTTGATATCTTTGCCTCATATGATATCCAACTATGAGTAAATTCATTTATTTTTACTTGCAGTTCTAAACATTTTTGCCTCACATATTTTTATGTCCTATTATTAGACACATATAAAGATTGGTATGGCCCCTTTGAAAATTTAACCCTTTATCATTATGTAATGGCCCTCTATCCTGAATCATTTTCCTTGATCTTTCCTTTCTTTCTCTGAAATATAGCTACTCTAGCTTTTTTTATTAGTATTAGCACAACATACCTTTGTTATCTTTATCTTTGATATTTAAAGTGATTGATATAGTTGAATTAATATCTACCACATTTGTTAGTTTTTTATTCACTGCCTTTGTTTGCTGTTCCTATCCCCCCTTTCTGCTTTTGTGGTTTAAACTGAGCATTTTATATGGTTCCTTTTTAGTAGCATATCAATTATGCTTTTTAACAAATAACATTTTTGTGGTTGTTGCCTGAGAATTTGCAATATACATTTACAGCTTATCCTAATCTATTTTCAAATAACACTATACCCCATCACACGTAGAGCAGGTACCTTATAGCAATGAAATATTAATTCCTCCCTCCTCCTGTCCCTTGTATTATTGTTGTCATTCATTTCACTTACAATAAGCTATCATTGAATACATTGTTGCTATTATTTTAAACAAATATATGTTAGACGACTTAAAAAATGTTATCTTCGCTTATTTTCTTTAATGTTCTTCCATTATTAAACAGACCTGTTTTTGACCTACATCATTTTCTATCTTTATAAAGGACTTTTTAACATTTCTTGCAATGCAGGTATACTGGCAATAAATTCTCTTGTCTGAGAAAATATTTTTTTTCCACTTTTGAAGGATAATTTTACGGAGTACAGAGCTCTTGGTAGGTGGGGCTTGTTTTCCCTTCTTGATACTTTAAATATTTCACTCTACTTTCTTCTTGCATGGTTTCTGAGATGTCAGATGTAACTCTTATCCTTGCTCCTCTATACATAAAGTGTTATTTCCTCTGACTTCAAGACTTTTTCTCTTTGATTTTCTACAGTTTGAATATGATAGACCTAGATGTAGCTGTTTAGTCATTTACCTGCTTGGTGTTCTCTGAGCTTCCTAGATCTGTAGTTTGTTGTCTGAAATTAATTGAGAAAGCCTCAGTAATTGTTGCTTTAAGTATTTCTTCTATTGCGTTCTCTTTTTCTCCTTCCGGTATTTGTCATTATACGTTACACCTTTTGTAGTCGTTCCATAGTTTTTGGATATTCTGTACTATGACTTGTCTTTTTTTTTTTCTTTACAGTTTTGAGAAGTTTTTATTGGTAAATAAAGGTCAGAAATTCTTTCCCTCAGCCAAGTTCAGTCTACCAAAGGCATGCTTCATTTCTGTTAAGATATTTATCTCTAGCATTTCCTTTTTCTGATAATTTCTATCCCTCTGCTTACATACCCACTTTCCTTGCATATCCTATGCTTTTTCCATGTTAATTAGATTTAAATCCCCAGTCTTATAATTCCAATATTACTGACATATCTGAGTATGGTTCTAATGCTTACTATGCCTCTTCAAACTGTGTTTCTTTGCCTTTCTGTATGTCTTTCAATTTTTGTGTTGTTGAAAGCTAGGTATACTACATAAAAGGAACACTGGCAAATAGGCCTTGAGTGATGTGGTGGTAATGAGCATGGGATGAGAGGCATTCTACAGTCCTATGATTAGGTCTATCTTTTGGTGCAACTGGCACTGGACTGTAAACTTCACCAGGGCTTCTCAAACCCACCCCACCCTCACTGGTAGGTGGGACAGGATGGCTAGACTGGACTGTAACTGGGCATTCTCTTTCCCCAAGTCAGTTAGATTCTAATAAAACCCCAGTAGGTTACTAACTCTGGTACAAGTTTCTCTTGGGGGCATACCTTAAGAACAGAATGCCGGGCTGTATTTCAAAATAGCTACTTTCCCCCCCACCCTTGACAGAGCACAATTGGGATTTTCTTCTAATCTTCAGTATGAAAACTTGGGCTCCTGGAGTTAAAACTCATAAAAGTGTGGGGACTTCCCTAAGACTGGGAACTCTTGAAGTCCTTGATTCACAGGTTTGTCCACACTGAGCCTCCCACAATTTGTCCATTACCACTTAGGTTTTCCTAGCCCTCTGCTGGATACCACGGAAGTTTCTGCTAATGCTTTCTGCGCTGGCAAGTTGTGATTCTCTGTATCCACTTAGCTCCAATTTGTGGAGCAGCAGCTTGCCCTGTGACCTCAATTCTCTGATGGACCAAAGAAGGGGTGAATTTGTTTTTCCAGCTTTTTACTTGTTATGATGAAGTGATGACTTTCAAGCTCCTTCTGAACCAGAAACCAGAAGTATTTCTAGTTGAATTTTTTGTAGTGATGTATTTTGGTTCCCCCTCATTTACTTTTGGGTGTATGCTATATTTCTCTGTAGTTACCATGAGGATTACATAAACATCCTACAGTTACAACAATCTACTCTAAATTGATAAAATTTCAATTGCATACTAAAGCTTTACTCTCAGAGGTCAGTTCATGATATCACAAAATACATCTTTATATATGGTGTAGCCATTAACAAATTTATAATTATTTTTATCTTTTAATCTTATAAGAAAACAAAAATGAGTTGTAAACAAAAATTACAAGTGTTTTTATATTTATCAATGTACTTACCTTTATCAGAGATCTTAATATTTTTGATGGCTTCCAGTTACTGTCTAGTATCTTGTAGTGCCTGATATTAGGGAGATGGAAAAAAATCCAAATTCTTAGCTTACCTGTTATGATTTCCTTAATTTCATCCTTTCATTCATGATTTTAACCCTCAAAAAATATCTCAAGCATTTCACAAGTATATGTACACTTCCCAAATATGTTAATCGCAATTAGGAGCAAATAGCATTTCATGTCCGAATTAGCTTGGACTATACACAGATAAACCACTTAAATGGAGTTGTTTTTCTTTCTTAACTATTGTTTTGATATGCTTTTGTACATCATGAGATGAGGATTTATAAGGCAGGATATTTGGAGGAAGTAACTCCTAATCACTCACTATATCCACATGGACTATTTACAGCACATAACATATTGTTTTTAACAAAGTATTTTGCAAAAGTGCACAGCACTGTTGGGATTCACTGAAATACAGATGGCTGGCCACTGTTTACTTGACTGCTTAATATTAGGAGTGTGGACAGGATAATAATGGATGACTGCAGTGACATCACAGCAGATGGGGTAACTCAAATTTTGAGATCAAGTTGCATGTATGTTAACACATGTATAATGGAATATAAATGCACATTAAAAATCCAATTCTAATAATGCTAAGAAAAATGAAGCTCAAGAAAGCATAAAAGACATTGGGTCTTGATCGAACAAATTCTCAACTGTTATGGAGTTTAGACATACAAATTCCAGAATTCCCACTGAATTATCTTTTATTGCACTTCAAGAATGTCTCACTACCCAAATCTACTTGTTTTTTGAGTTTGGATAGCATAGAATAATGTGCTTATATTCATTCACTTAAGCATACATAATTTGGGGGCTGATTTTCTTCTTCACTCATGTTATTTGGAATACTATTGATTTTCATATATTTGTTAACTATCATTTTAACTTTTCCCCTTTCTGGAAAAAAATGTGACCTACATTTGTTCTACTTTTAGAGGGAAGTGACTGAGTAAATATTTCATAATTTTCTCTCCTTTTTTGACAAATTAATTTTCAACTATTTTCAATTTGTAAATAGATCTTTTGATGGGTATGAAATTATTCATGTTTTTGCATGACTTATTTCTTTTTATCTCTACTCAATAAGTAGTAAGTGTTGGTGAAAAGCTTTACTATAAACATTACACCCACTGGTCTTTCTCATTATGAATTTTTGATATCTACTAAGGTGTATAACATGGTTAAAGTCCTTTTCACAAATAACAATGATGAGGACATTGATGCTACTACTGGATAACATCCATTAAATAGTTACTATATGTTAGTAACAGTCCCAACCATTTTATATTTCTTAACTCATTTAATCCTCACAGCAATCCAACACACACATTAGTATATACCTTCATACAAAAAAATCATAAAGCAGCACTAAGTTTTCTACAAATATTTGTAAGTATTTATATATTTGTTTGCACACATTTGTAAATAGAAGTACTTCTTAAAAGTGATCTGGAAAAATAAATAACAAATTGATAACAGTGATTACAATGGGAGGATTAGCAATGTTTTACAGAGAAAATGTTCATCGGTTATTTAAGCACTGACATGTAATGTATTTTAGAAAAACAAAAAAAATCACTAATATGTTTAGAGGGCAACTTTCAGTGAGCAACCATGTCCATCAGTAGTACTTAGCAAAATGACAGTCAACGACAGAAAGATTATGACATTGTTAGAATGATAAACATTTATACTTAATGAAATGGCAGCATGAAAAAAGCAGGTTACAGAACAGCATGCATATCATGATTACACTAAATAAAGTCTGGAATAATATGTTGTAATAATTTGAAAGTAGTAATTTGTTTGGCAGGTTTTACAAATAATCTATTATTTCTTTGTGTTCTACTTTATTACAATACAAAAACACGTTTTACAAAAAGACTAGAGCTACCTTCAAAAACAAAGTTATGATTCTGCCATGAATTAAGATAGCCTATACAACACAATTTACATTGTAGTATTAGTGGAGGCTCAGATCTATAGATATGAGCAAGAGAAAAGATGGCCCTAGAACTAAGCTAATATAAACACAAATATATAACCAAGAAAAGAGAACACAACAATGGGAACGGAATTACTGAAAGACAGAACCCTGGAGGGGAAGGTAGGTTTAATTTAAACCTTGAGTTCATATTTGAAAATACATTTGATTAACAAGTTAAACATAAAAGAAAATAGCCAAGTATGTTAGATAAAACAGAGTTAACAAAGTGTTATAGGTTGAACCATGTTGAAGCCTTAAGCCCTGGTACCTGTGAATGTGATCTTACATGGAGACAAGGTCTTTGCAAATGTAATCAAGTTAAGATGAGGTCATTAGGGTGAGCTCTAATCTAATAAGGCTCACACCTTATATAAGAGAAGATACACAGATACACAGGAACAATGCAGTGTGAAGATGGAGGCAGAGATTGGAATGATGCCTCTATAAGCCAAGACTGTTGAAGACTGTGGAAGCCAGGAGAAGGGCATGGAACAGATGCGTCCCCAAACCCTCAGAAAGAACCAACCCTGCCAACACTGATTTTGGATTTCAAGGCTCCAAAACTGTGAGAATAAACTTCTGTTATTTTATTTTGCCCAGTTTTGTGGTACTTTGTTACAGGAGCCCTAAAAAACTACAACAGAGAACTTCCAATCATGCGTTATCTGGGTGTTTTAGAAAATCATCTGTTATTAAAAATATTATTATAAAAATTTTCAAAGGGGCCTATCATTCACCCAGTATGAATTCCTTCATGGCGAATGAGGTCAGAGCGACTACCAAAGGCCTTTCCGCATTCCCTACATTCATAGGGTTTCTCACCAGTATGAATTCTTTGATGTCTTTTAAGGTTTGAGCCCTTGTTAAAAGCCTTGCCACATTTATTACATTCATAAGGTTTTTCATCTGTATGGATTCTCTGATGCTGAATAAGTTCTGAGCTCTGAATAAAGGCCTTTCCACATTCTTTACATTTATAGAGTTTCTTGCCAGCATGAATTCTGTGATGATTAGTGAGTGTTGAGGCACTACTAAAGGCCTTCCCGCATTCCTTACATTCATAGGGTTTCTCACCGGTATGAATTCTCTGATGTTGAATAAGCCTTGAGTGTTGAGTAAAGGTTTTCCCACATTCCTTACATTCATAAGGTTTCTCACCAGTATGAATCCTCAGATGTGGGAAAAGTTGTGAACTTTTAGTAAAGGCTTTTCCACATACTTTACATTTATAGGGTTTCTCACCAGTGTGAATTCTCTGATGATCATTAAGGTTTGAACAATAATTAAAAGCTTTCCCACATTCCTTACATTCATAGGGTTTCTCACCAGTGTGAATCCTCTGATGTTGAGAAAAATACGAACTACAACTAAAGGCCTTGCCACATTCCTTACATTCATAGGGTTTTTCACCAGTGTGAATCCTCTGATGTCGAGTAACAAGTGAACCACGACTAAAGGATTTCCCACACTCCTTACATTCATAGAGTTTTTCAACAGAATGAATCCTCTGATGTTGAATAAATTCTGAGTTCTGATTAAAGGTCTTTGCGCATATCTTATATTCACAGGGTTTCTCTTCATTAACACTTTTTTGATGTGGAGTAAGAAATGTAGGCTGAATAAGAGTGGGCATGTCTTCTTCATGGATAAATATTACTTGACTAAAATGTCTCTTCTTTAGAGATAATATCTTGGTCTCACACATTGATTCCAGATCTGAATGAAAATAAAAAGGCATATGTTCATTTTTCCTATTCTGAGAGAGGTTATACTTCTAAAAAAGAAATAGGAATATTAAGCTGAAAATAACATATGGGAAAGGAAACGCTTAGTTTTTAAATCGGGCTAAGCAACTTGTAAAATTGACAAGTACAGACATTATGGAGACACAACAGTGTAAGTTGAAGAGGACCATTAGGAAACTAGATGACCTCTATAATCCTGAAATTCTGGTGTGGATCAGAATCACCTAAAACTTTGATGAATATACCCTGTTCAGGGTTATCTTCCATGTTATACAGTGATTCTTACCACATAAACATATTTATAAACATATATTCACATGCCCAGTATCATACTGTATGTTTTGTAATTTGTAGACAATTATCAGACCTATGAAGGACTGCAGAGGAATAAAAGTACTGAAATGTACAAATTGGGAGAGGGAGTCAGAGACTCTGTGTAAAAGTTATGTTGTTGGCCGGTTCACATTAGAGTACAGTCTGCAGCAAGTCTAAGTTGCTGAAAGAAATTGTCAAGAATAGAGCTGGATATGTTGGAGATTGAATGAAAATAGTTTGCCTTCGAATTCTGTGATGCTGACTCTGGGAGAGTAAGAAATGAAATCTTCAAGTCATGGTAGTGGCTAAGAAGGGAAGCAGCCTGCGTGAGAGAAAAAAGCAAGAATGAAACAGGCTCTGTGAGGAAATGAGAGGTACGCCAGCCACATCAATCTTTTTTTGCTATTCTGCACATATCCACGATGACAATGAAAGCACAGAAAGTACTGATTTGGGGTTTACAAATAAACTTAATGAGTAGGTGAATACGTAATTATAAAATCTGTGAGTAATGAAGGTCAATTGTACTTTTAATAATGTCTCTTAAAAATAGCACACTGTATACGAGTTTACCAATGCTTGTCCATGAATTCACAGGAATATTACAGTAAAAGCTTAAAAAGAGGAAAGAAAAACCCCACTAGGATGAAGCATATTAGAGAAGACTGTAGCAATAAAACTTAGAAGCTAGAAAGCCAATGGATGATTGACTGCAGACCAGAGAAAGTCAAACTGAGCTACAGTGAGTGAATTCCACAGCAGTGATTCATGGTACAGAGCCCCACAAGTGCACAAGAATTGGAGGCATCAAGCACTTCTAATAGTGGGGTACGAATAATACTGAAAGCTGAAGGTGAGTTCAAGGAATGTTATTAGTGAGACCATTAAGATCTCCTCCCTAGAAACTAAACTCAAGGACCATGGACTTAAAGAGGATTTTATGAATTTGATCTCAAAGGCAAGGGAAGTAAAAACAAAAATAAATGAACGGGACTATATTAAACTACAGATTCAACGCACTAGCTATCAAAACCCCAATGGCATATTTTTACAGAAAGAGAAAAAACAATTCAAAGAGTCAAAATAATCTTTACGAAGTATAACAAAGTTGAAGGCATCACACTTCTTGACTTCAAAATATATTACAAAGCTATAGCAATTAAAACAGTATGGTACTGGCATAGAGACATTCACATAAACCAGTGGAATACAACAAACAGCCTAGAAATAAATTCACATGTATACAGTCAACTAATTTGCAACAAGAGTGCCAACCAAGACTACATAATGAAGAAAGGAAAGTCTCTTTAACAAATGGTGTTGGAAAAACTAGATAGCCACATACAAAAGGAAAAAAAATTGAACCCTTCCTTACCTTAAATCATACAGAAAAATCAACTCAAAATGGATTAAAGACTTAAACTTAAAATCTAACACTGTAAATTTCCTAGAAGAACAGATAGGGGAAAAGTTTGATCACATTAATGATGATTTCATAGATGACACCAGAGCACGAGAAACACAAGCAAAAAGAGACAAACGAAACTACATCAAACTTAAGTTTCTGCAAAGCCAAGAAAAATAATCAATGGAATGAAAAGGCAACCGGTGAAATGGAAGAAAATATCTGCCAACCACAATCAGGTTTCCCCTGCTATCCCAAACTTTGGTGTTCCTATGAAAATTTTTGTAAGTCAAAATGGCATAAAGTAAAGAAGCAATTACCATTATTGTATATGAAAAATTTTTTGTGTTCCCAGACTCAAAATTCAATGCATGCACAATGTCTTGATGTCATTCATCACAAGTGAAATGTTTAATTATATCCAGTTTTACACTAAGCATAACCCTTATGAGCTCTCTTAGGCCTCTCTACCTTAGGACACATTTTGCGAATAGATACACAAAATAAATCGAGATAAAGCGCAGATGCTCGCAAACGCAGTACAAAGCTATGACAACGGGACTCTGTGATACTGTGTGCAGTTTTCCAGAAAAAAGTTTGGCAGTGGCACTCTCACTGCTGGGGTACACACTGTCTCTATACTGGCTCACTGCAAAACAGATGCTGAACACTATTTTCACACTGCGCCTTTTTTTGAAAAAGCAAACTCTTCGACTTACAGTTAATGACAACAGGTACTAATGCAGATCTTTCATAAAAGTGAAGTGGTGTAACACGAACTTTTGAAAAGCGGGGGATACGTGTATCTGACAAGGGGTTAATTTCAAAACTATATAAGCGAAGAAACTAATATCCCGATTAAAAAATGGATTAAGGACTTGAATAGACATTTCTCCAAAGAAGACACATAAATGACCAAGAGGTATATGAACTGATGCTCAATATCACTAATCACTAGGGAAAGGCAAATCGAAATCATGATGTGTTAGCACCTATCACTATTACGATGGCTATTATCACAAAACAAAAGACACCAAGTGTTGAAGAAGATGCTGAGAAACCACAATCCTTGTACAGTACTGGTGAAAATGCAAAATGCTGCAGCCGCTACAGAAAAGTCTGGAAGTTCCTCAAAAATTTAAAAATAGAATCATCAAATACAACTGATACATCAATCCCACTTCTGGGTATTTATTCAAAAGAACTTAAATCAGGCTTCTGAAGAGATATTGGCACTTTTGTGTTCGCTGCAACACTATTCACAATAGCCAAGACGTGCAAACCACCTAAATCCACAGATGATGCATGGATAAAGAAAACTTGGTATACATACAATGAAATATTATTCTGTCCTAAAAAAGGAGGAAATCCTGCAATATTGACATGAATGAATCTTGAAGACAGTATGGCTAAGTGAAATAAGCTAGTCACAGAAGGACATGTACTACATGATTTTACTTATATGAGATATCTAAAAGAGTAAAACTCATAGAAGGGAAGAGTATAATGGTGGTTGTCAGAGGCTGAGGTGAAGGGGAAACAGGCAGTTGGCTAATCAACAGGTAGGTATAAAGCTCCAGTTATGCAAGGTGAATAAGTTCTAGGGATCTGTTATACCACGGTGTGCCTATAGTAAGCGATATCATATTATACACTCGAAAATCTGTTAAAAGGGTAGATATCATGTTAAATGTTCTCACTGCAATAAAATTTTAAAAAAAAAAAGACTGAAAAAGCAGTTGTCAAATTTACACCCTGCCAACAGCTTATGAGGGTGCATAATGCTCCATATTCTTCCCTACTGTTTTACTAATCTCAGAATTAAATTTTTGCCCGTGTTGTGGGTGTCATAATGGTGTCCAATTAATTTGCGTTTTCTTGATAACTAATAAGATTAAACTTTTTCCCATATGAAAAAAAGTATTATAAATAATAGTACTATTTCCCTGGACCGACAAAACCAACTGAAAAATTATAAATGCTCACAACAGCAACAAAATCTACTTTAAAATCTAGAAAATAACAGTGAAGAGTTTAAAAATTGCTATGGAGAATAATTTTTTACTCTCATAAATGACATTAAAATAACTTGAATGAATCAAGAAACATTCCATGCTTCTAAAGGGACAATTTTTTCAAGTGTCCACACTGGTTAGACATTTATATAACTTGTTAAGTTTAATATTATAAAGATGTCAAGTCTCTCCAAAATAATTCTGAATTCAAAGTAATCTGATCAAAACTCTAGTTGGATATTTTTTAATGATGTGAATTTATTCTAAAATTTTATAAAGAGAAGCAGAAGTACAAGAGATGCTAAGTAAACCCTGGATATGAAAAACAAGAGTAAAGGACGGCTTGCTCTTTTAGATATTAAAAAATACTAGCCACAGAAATAAAGATACCCTGGTACTGGCATTATACTAGAGGAAGTGCAACAGAGCACTGAGATACAGACTCATATACGAGCATTTATTATTCAATAAAGATGGCACCAGAAATCAATGGAGAAAGCTCAATTCTTTAATGGATGGTAGAGGAGAAAATGGTTCCGTTTATGGAAGAAAAACACCCTGGATCCCCACCTAACATCACATAAATGGATTACTTCGAATGGATTAAATACATAACATGAAAAGCGAAACTATAATTTAAAAATAAAACACAGAAGGAAATCTTTGTGAAAAACAGGCAAGGGAAGATAACTTACATAAAACTCCAGAGGTACAAACCATAAAGTAAAAACATAAATTGAAAATACATCAAAATTAAAGATTTCTGTTAAATGTAGGCCACCATATATTTAATGCACAGTAGACTAGAAGATACTTGCAAATTAACAGAAAGAAGTTAATAAAAATAATAATAAAGATTATTAACAAGGCTAACAGATGTATCAGATGTTCATAGCTATTAATAATTAGAAATGCAAATGAAAGCAATAAAATATCGCTCTCACTTATTAGACATAGGAGAGTAGAAAGCTGGGTCATGACAAGTGCAGCTAGAAACACTGAAACTCATGCGCCGCTGCTGGAGGTACAGACTGGTACTGCCCTTCTCTAGAGCCATCTGGCAACCAGTTAAACAGGCATTCAGATGCCCAGCCTTTGGATACGTATCTCTGTTAAGGTAAACTATCTAAAATTCAAAATCATGCAAAAGGATGAATATCTCATGTCTTTTCAATGTCATACCAGTATATCATCTAATAGGTCCATCTGAGGATTATTTAATTCTCTAGGGAAATGTACCTTTGTTTCACTTACTATATACTACTTACTAGGGCCCAGGCCAGGCTCTGTTAATGTTAGATGTTAAACTGAAAAAGACTGATAAGTTACAAATGGAAAAGATAGCCTGAAGGTTATGGTTTTATCATCCTGTAAGCCAGTAACTAGTTTTTGTATCCAAGTTAGTGATGTTATTCCTGCATTCTTCCTTTCAGTGACAATGCAAACTCAAGCTCTCCAAGATAACTTGAATCAGCTGTACCATTCCACTGGTTCTCTCGTTAATCAACTAAATAAATCTTTCAAATGTGCTTCTCATGTATTTATAAAAGAATCATGTTTAATTTTTGAAAAGTTGTATGTTTGAAAAGTTTTGAAAATGTTACCCTGACAATTCTGAAGGTCCCGCTGAGATGTTCAAATGGACCCATCTGCAGGAGTCAATAAAACGTGCGACCTGAGACGTGAAGGCTATTCAAGTCCAGCAGGTCTTCTTGGCGCCACAGTAAATCCCAAGCAGCAATGGAAACCTCTATTTTCATTCACTCTGTTTCTCTCAGCCACCCCCTCCCCAACGTGTTTTTGTGCTGTTTTTGGACCAAGTCAATTTTTGGTTCTGGTTTGTGCAATGCTGGTAAGTTATAGCGATTAGAATGTGATTTTATCCTGATTTCTGTAGGGATAATGGAAATCTGTGCCAGTTATCTGGGGAGCCATTCTCTAGTAAGTGAGACAACAGATAATCTCAATTGTCATCTTTCTTGTAGGTCTGTTTGTACCGTCCTATGCTTCTTGGAAAGGAAAAGACCTTGGAGATCTGCATTGCTGAGTTCTTTAGTTCTTTGTTTATCTCATAGCTAAGAAAAGAACTAAAGTTAAAAGCTCTCTTTGTGTGTACAACTGAGGAAAAACTTCTTTTGGTGGGGAGCAGTGTTCTTATAATTTTATTTTTTCTTATAACTTTTAACTGACATTAAAACTTTTTCCTATCAATAGGGTGTGAAATATTTTTCTACGTTCAGAGGGTATAAATTTCATTCCTAAGACTCTTAAAGGATTTACACCAAAAGCACAAGCAATCAAAGAAAAAATAGATAAATTGGATTTCATCAAAATTAAAAACTTTTGTGCTGCTATTTAAGGACAAAATCGAGAGGGTGAAAACACAACTCACTACATGGCAGATAATATTTTCAAATCATAGAGCTGATAAGAGACTTGGTTATATAAATAACATGAACCTAAGTAATAAAAACACAACCCAATTTTGGACAGAGTTACTGCCATATCGACTCTCACTTACCTGAACAAAGGCCTCTTTTCACCTCTCTTTCAACCATCCAGGGCTCTTTTCCTTCTTCCAATAAGGAGATCACAACTGGCTTAGCACTGGAAAGTCCTGATCACAAGAAAAGACATGGGACATGGTTATGCTGTGAGTGTCCCAGAAATCAGGTCCGGTCCCTTGGTGATCAAGGAAGATATGCCACTATAGGAAGGACCAGAGGAAGGTGAAGCTTCAGCCACAGCTCACTGGAGCTGCCCATTTCCAATTCTTCCGTTTCATTCCAACTCCGGCCATTCCTTCGGGAACACGGAGTAGAAATTTAGCTGGTTATTTGAAACACATAATTTACAATGGAGAAAGAAGATATTCCTGAGGGCAGATTCTGAATTTTGGGGGAGATTTATCCTTACCCACTGAAACCAGGTTGCTGAAATTCTCCAACATCACTTCTTTGTATAAATTCATCTGACCAGGGTCCAGGCATTCCCACTCCTCCTGAGAGAAGTTTATAGATACATCCCTGAACATCACTGACCCCTGAAACAACAAACATGCTTTCACCATGGAAGGAGATACGGAAAAGATGGTAGTAGAGATGGTGACGGAAGGCTCTACAGGAAAGGACAGAGATTACTAAGCAAATTTCAGGGGCTGGAACCCTATTATACCAGTAGAATATTTACCTCCTCTATACAGAAAGATGTATCTAGGAATACGCAGGTAGAGTGGGCTTTTCCAGTGAGATGAAATAGCAAGCCTGGAGCTCAATACCTGGATAAGTGAATAATGTGAGCCTTTCTCCCTTCCCATTTTCCCTTTAAGCCCCGAAAAAGGGAAAAGATGGTGGACTTTAAAAAACATTTTACAATACATTTTGGAGTAAAATTTCAGAATATTAGGGGAAAACAGAACATTCTAAAAGCTTCCAGGAAGAAGACATGGATCACATAAAAATTTTCAGGAATCAGAATGGCAATGGACTTCTCAACAGCACCACTGAAATAAGAAAACAAAATGATTCCTTTAATATCACAAAGGAAAATGAATTCTGGCCTAGAATTCTACACCCAGTCAAAGCTAGTGCGAAGCCTGTATACCAAGCCAAGATTAAATACCATACTTGCGTGAAGATTAAGCCAAGACAATTCTAGATCCACAGGGAATAAAAGTATCTCCTACGTAGCTTTTCTTAGGAAGCTAGTGATCTATGTGTCTCATCGAAAGTGGGAATAAATTAAGAAAGAAAGAGTACTATATTCAGAAACTAAAAAACTAACATGAAAATGGCGAACGGAGTTCCAGTACAACTGTAAAAGGCAAGTCCCAGGACAATATCTGGTAGCAGACCTAGAGAGCAACGCGTAGGAACAGGAGGACAGTGGACCATGAAGAGGTCTTCGAGGAAAAATAAAGGGCTAATATATAAAAACGAAGAGCTAGTAAAAAACAATACTACTACTGATAGGCAACTGACAGCAATGTTGTTGGATCTGGTTTTTAAAAAATGAGCGACATATGTATGGAACCAGGGAAATGAAAAAACAACGTAATTTATCCTCAGAAAAATAAAAATTGTACTAAATAGAATCTAGGGTCTAGTATATTACTTGGCTCAGATTAAATGCATGTGCGTGGTCCTAATCACATCAATGTCAACGATTTAAAGAAAAATGTAATGAAACTCTTTTGCCGGAACAGGAAATGAGGAATGTGGTATGGAAAAATCTAAATCTACATTTAGCTCAAGAAAGTCACTACATTGATCTAAAACATCACTATCTTAGACAAGAGCCTAATTTAAATTTCTTAGAAACTGAAGTGTTCTTATGACAGTTACAAGAGTTATTCCCTAGTTACATAAATTCTTTAACTTTTGTAATTTTACTGGTGGCAGAATTTTCAACAATATAAATATTACTGAAAAACATTTCATTTGAAACATTAGGCAAAATTCTTAACATCCTTTCCAGACATGATCCCCCCTCTCACCTTTTGCCCTAGGCATTTCTTTCATTTTGCTGTTCCCGAGTTATACCATTTATAGGATTGTGATTGTAAATATATTTCTGTAATGAGAATGTGATTGTACCTATAAATCTAATAAATTACTGAACCTGAGTGGGGATCATGGGAATTCTTGAATTTGAGGTTTGCTGGACAGAAGTGCAAACTTCTTAGGGACACGCAAACTTGGGGCTGGTTTTCTAAAATAGGGCAATTTTGTGAAACTGAGTCCCTTAACCTGTGGGGTCTATGCTAACTCTGAGTAGTTAGTGTCAGAATTGGAATTAAATTGTAGGACACTTGGTGTCCAAGAATCAGTTACTGTTTGGAAAATGACATTTATTTCTATCTCACTGGAGAAATTAGGTTACTTCTCCTTCATTTTGGGCCAACCAAGAGGGCATCCTTTAGGCTCCTGGGTCCAAAGTGAGCTGTATCAACTCTAAAAATCAAAAGATTAAGAAATGAAATAAATAAATAATAAGTGCTAACCTATGTTTAATTAGAGCCTGAAAAGGAGAGTGAGAGAGAGAATGAGGCAGGGACAGTCTTTTGGCCAAGAATTTTCCTGAATAAAAAACACCTATCGACAAATTCAAAAACCCTTACAAATCCCAAACAGATAATTTTTTTTAATGCACACTTAAACACATTATACTAAAGAAAATCGAAAACAGAAAGTTTTAAAAACAGCCACAGGAAGAAAAGCCAAATTATCTTCGAAGGAGACAGAAACTAGAATAATCAAGATTATGATACTGGTAAAGGTATATATACCAATAGATCAAAAGAACCAAATGAAGAGCTCATAAACACACCTATGCACATACAGACACTGCACATATTTGCATTATATGTATTTGGATATATTTGCAGTGAGAATACAATGGACTTTCTAACATACGCTGAGAAAAGTGGGTATTCATAAGGGGAGAAAACCCTGACCCCCACTTTACACCACATACAAAATCCAGTTAGGCTTAAAGATATAAACAGAAGAGGCAAAACTTATAGCTTTAAGCATAAATATAGGAGAATATTTGCATAACTTTGGGACAGGGAAGGGTTTCTTAAATAAGATCCAAAAAGCACCAATCATCAAGGAAAAAAGTTGATAAAACTGACTACATTAAAATGAAGACTTCTATTCATAAAACCATCTTAAAGGAAAAGATGAAACAATCCAGATAGTAGAAAATTATAATCAATGAAGGATCCACATGCAGATTATATAAAGAACTCCTATGAATCAATGAGATAATGCAAAAGCAAAATAGGTAAGAGATGTGAACAGGCATGTCACAAAAAAGGCATCTTAATTCAATAAACACGTGAAATGATGTTCAATCTCATTGTTAATCATAGAAATACAAATTTAAACCCAGGTGTATATATGTATGTGTGTGACTACAAGTGGAAATTTAAAGGTTTCAAAATGTGACAACTGATCTGAAGAAAAGGATAAACCATAAAAAGAAATAATATGTATCTTTTAAAAAGGGCATTTACAAAGACCATTTGGTGACATGGGAGTATGATACTTTTTAGCGAAAATGTAGACTATAAAATGGTAAAGTGTAATTTGATTTTGGAAAAATGAAAATACATCAAACTATTAACACTAGAATGGACGCATTTTATTTTTTTCTTGGTATTTCTGTGTTTTTGCAATCTCTTAAAATAATCGTGCTCTTATTTTAAAATCATAACAAACATTGCACTTAAAAAGAAGAAAATCAGCAAACAGAAGTGGAACCATTTTCCAACTCAGTGAACATTAGGGGGCTATTGGGCCCAACAATCTTTTTCTCTAATGGATAAATTACAGGGCCCTATGATCGAATAACAGATCTTGATTAAGCATTCACTTTCAGAAGGGGGAAAGCGAAGAGGAAACCCCAACACACTTTGGACATTACTTGAGGCAGTTCATCACGCATTCCTTTCTTCTTTTCTGGGCACCTCACCTGGAGAACGGGAGAACTAGGAGAGGAAAAAGTCATTGTGAGATACCAAGTTTTTCTTGCTGCCCAAACTGGTCAGGTCAGAGGGCATCCCCAGCCCCATTCCCCACCAGACACAGGAGAATGGGATATCCTGCCCAATCCCAGTGCCTCAGGGAAAGACTTGAGGTCACCGCTGTCGAGGGGCTATAACCTGACCAACTCTGTCCCGGGGAACATTGTTCTGGAGTCACATCGCAAAGATGACAAGAGCCTCATAGCCGTACACACAGTGCAACAGACATTAGGCACAGTGATACTTAAACCAAGGGGACACGCACGGCGTTTAATCACGCAGCCACCACGCAACCCACACAGCGCACTTGCACAGTCGCAGGCACCCTCACGGTGTCGCAGCGTGAAAATCACAACCACAGGGTGCACAACGCACATACGGTGACAGCTCCACAGTGTCGGGCACCTCGCATCCGCACACAGGTCTCAGGGTCACCATCTCTCCCACAGACAACCCACGACCTCCCGTCTTCGGGCCGCTCCGCCCGCACGAGCCCGAGGACGCGGCTCCGAACCGGTCGTCCGAGTCTCCCGGGGTCGCGACTTGCACAGCCCGGCCGGCTCCCCCGGGGGCCCCCGACCTCTCACCTCACCGAGCCAACGGTCCCTCCAGGCACGACAAAAACACTCGCGTTCCTGCGAAAAGCGCAGCGCAGCGCGCCACCAGGCCCTCCGGGAAATGTGGCCCCGAGCGCGACCCACGGCCAGTTCCTTTCGGCCCCAGCGAAACGAGCGCACCCGAGCCTCTCCGCGTCGGGCGGGG